AGTATTATAACACAGAATCTTGTGTCAGTCATATTATTACACAGGATCTTGTGTCAGTGGTATTATAACACAGGATCTTGTGACAGTAGTATCATAACACAGGATCTTTTGTCAGAAGTATCATAACACAGGATCTTGTGTCAGAAGTATCATAACACAGGATCTTGTGTCAGAAGTATCATAACACAGGATCTTGTGACAGTAAAGTATCATAACACAGGATCTTGTGACAGTGGTATTATAACACAGGATCTTGTGTCAGTGGTATTATAACACAGCATTATAAGATTATTGTTGAACAATTTTATCGTTGATGTTTTGGTGTTTGTTCGTTTGATTATTTTTTTGACTTTCTATCTGGTTTTGTTCGGTTTTTGTTTTATATTTTTGTTTGTTTTTGTTCTTTATTTTTCATTTTTCCTATTTTGTTTACGTTATTTGTTTCTGATTTTGTTCAGATGCTGTCTCCTCTAAAACATTTGATCACACGAAACAAGTAAGAAAAACAAGACGATGTTAAGTATCATGGAATGTTTTATCCATTAGATTTAATGTAAAATGTACATGATATAAGGCAAGACGATTATCATTGGCAACCTATGTGGCTTTACATAATTGATTTTATTAGGATCACAATATTTGATTGGTTTTAACTGGTATGTACATAAAAAAACTAAGAAAACAAGGCACTTATCGATATGTAACATAATGTAAATAGAGCTTCACCACAAATCATATTGGCTACATGGAGCCTATACCAAAGTATGTAGCTGCAACCGGATTCATAAGAAACAAAATCTGTATCAGGTTTTACTTCATGTTTGTTTGGAAAGCTTGTGTTATTTATGAATAGAGCGAAACCGTGGACCTGTTTGCATTTATTCCTAAAATGTGGATATGGTCAAGTGCTATTTAATATTCGAGTTATCTCCCTTAGTGTGGCTAGGCCATGAATCGTGCCTGTAACTAAATAAAAAATGTTTCCCTCTTCTTTATAAAAGCATTGAAATGACAGTTCAAAATAAACATAAAAAATCTTAATATCACGACAGTTTCCAGGACTAAGATATTGATATAAGATCATGAACTCAACTCTGCATTTCTCTTCCAGTATGAGGAAAGTAATTTCTTTTCAAAAATGAATACAAATAAAAACGTAGTGATAAAAGTTATGATGAACCTTTTAAAAAGATACTATAAAATTGATTACATCAATGGATATACAATTACAGCTTCTGACCATAGTAAACAAAACAAGACTTCTTCAGGATTCTGATATGGTTAAGACAAACTCGTTTTTCTGATATATGTTATATAAAACTTGAGGGACATATATCCATCTTATCATGGAGTCTCTAGGTTACCTGTGCGAGTTATCTCATAATAATAGAACATGCTTGATATTTGGAGACACATCCTTCAATAGCAAAAACGGGAAACTTTCCTGAACTTTTATCTCTACTGATAATCAGAGGAAATTCATTAGATATTCGCTATAATAAAGAGTTTCAAAATAAAACCAGGAAACTCATTAATCTTCAAAAACTTCAAAATAACTGACTAGAAAAACAATACCATGAGAAATAAAGTGCGATTTCAAGTAAAAAAAAAACCATCGACTACTCAAAAGTACAAACTTTCACCTAAATATGCTCGAAATAAATCATCTTTGTCGAGACGGCAACGTTAAACGGTAGTATCGCGGATCAATCAATCGATAAATCGCTTTGATCAGATATAATGAATTATTGATTTGTTGATTAAAATTACAAGATCGTTATAGTGCTTAAATGAAAATAATTGCGTCACATAAATAATGATTACATATATACAGATGTGATATTTTACCCTAAAAAACCGTCTAGGCTTATCTACTGTGGCATACAACTACTGGCTGTCCACTTAGGCCCGAGTTATCTCCCCTTATCTACCACACTAGAACTTGCATATCCGGATTTTAAGTTACCCTGCAAAATTCTCAAACTCTGAAAATCCGTATGTAGAATACTGAATCATTTCTATCAAATTCTTTTCATTAAAAAGAAAAAGAAAAACATTGTTTGGATGACTATATCAACTGCATAAAAAAATCGGACAGGTTAAATTTTTCATGAACAAGGTCTTAATTCCTGATATGAATGGTACTATGGATTTATATATATATATATATGTATAACAATGAAAAATCTATACAAAGTATTTCGTGTATCAATCATGAACACATTTATATCTAATCGTAGTATAGAAGTATTTTTCAGGACATCACTATTAATACTAACGTGCACAACAGGTAGTAACTTACAAACTAGCTAACAGAATTTTAAAGTTTTATAACATCAGATGAGACACTAAAAGACTTCTGACGTCATTTAGGATAATTACTGACATTTCACGTCAAACTGATATAAACATCTCTCATTTTATCATTAAGCTTTACGATGCCATGCTATAAAACTAACCAGAACGAAGTGTCATTAAACGTACGATAAATGACATGAACATCGTGACCCTGCCATCGTCATTATTGTTGATATGGAAACAGCAAATGTTCACGGTCGAAGGCACGGATACACAAGAGGGGTGCATGTAAAAATATTGATAATCTTAAATTAACTTTAGTGTAAACCGAGCTGTAATCGAGACAGCAACATGTGTAAGGGATGTTCTTATAAACTCCCCAGTTATGGCATATATGGTCGTTATAAATGACAGAGTTTTAAAGGCAAGCCGACGTGTTTTCCTTGGTGTACAACATAACGTTTACTTGCGAAGTTCTGTCATTGGAAACATAAATGCCACTTCACGACAGTTTAACGTGTAAATGAACTATCACTGGCTTAATAAGTTTCTGGACGAATTAAAACGTCCTTTAAATCAATGAAATTACAAAAAAAAAATTAAAAAAACAAAACAAATACAAGGGGAAAAAAAAGAAAAAAAAAAACTTAAAATGTACATAATTATTATGTCTGTTATGTTACACATGTCAAACCTCTGACGTCAGACAACTGTTTGTCTTTTTACAATTTAATTTATTTCCTTTTTTCTGCAGTAAATGGAAAGCCTACACGAACGATATCGACTGTTAATAAACACTTTTTTGCGATTTAAATCTAAACAAAAATATACATAGATTAACATATAAAGCATGTCCCTATATGGAAGGTAATACCGAATATTATGCCGTATTCGATTTTAACGTCTCGTTTACACAGATACTTGAAAATCGTTTCTTTTCGTGGGGCTCAAATTTTATGGTTTTATAAAACCTTTTCTATGACACGCGATTTCATGGATAAATCTGATTCTCGACATTTATTTGTCTTATAGTCCATGCCAACTTGTATCTCTTCATTTATTTCGCGAATATACACATTAGTGGATTAAGAGTTCTGTCGAAATCAAAGAAAATAAATTTCTCACGAAAATCTCCGATATTACAGTATCTAAGAATTACATGTACATCATACAGAAAAGTAAATATACAGATATATACCACATGTCGATCACCACCACCCCCTCCCCTCCCCCCTCCCCTCCCCCATCCCTCGGTATACACTTCCATACAGTGCTAGTATTAACAGGTAACTATGTCAAATAATCCTATGTTGATTACATAAGATTTGCGTCACTCTTTATATACGGGGTATATTTTGGTCAGACTGACAATAATCCTATAATTTGTGGTATGAAATGTTCAGCTGCGTTCTCTGCTGTTACACGTGCTAGTCTAAACACGTGCATCACTCCTCCCTACCTCCATCCCCGGATTTCGATCACAACATTAATAAAACTCACAAAGTCCTGTTTGCAAAGACTTAATAAAAAAGTATTTATGAGAAATAACGGTTTGGAAAAAAAGGCGGTCCGGGCCATTGGAAATGACCTTTTTCTTCTGTAAAATTATGAATGACTTGGGACAGAGTAAGCAGCAGTTGTATGTTACATGTAATATGGATAGTCATACTACCTGTATTTTTTTCAATAAAAGAAATTGAAATTCCTGAGATGAAATAAAAGCGATATGTGTAGTTATTCTGTCTACAAAAACCTCCACTCGACATACATTGTATACATAAAAAAATTAGTTGACTGTTACAGAAAGTTTAAAGTTAAGTTATGGGTATATGCTACCTAACACATTATGTCCGAATTGAGTCGTCATAGACTGTATGGCTATTTAAATGTATGTATTGGAAATGGGGTTTATTTTAAGATGTCCAAATGCGACATAATTCTTTGTATTTGTAACATCGAAGAAATCTACAAAAATTCAGAAAAAAAAAGTTACAACTGAAGTTAGGTACATGAAGCACATCTAAAATTGAGTCCGGGTTCATTTTTGACAACTAGGAACAATTAGGCCCCGGATGGCATATATTGTGTCGTTAAAATATATCATCAGACGATAGGAAAATAAAATTATTATTCTTGTTTGACGTAATAAGGGAGTCTGAAATGCGTCTCATGTATTAAAAAATAAGAGGTTTTTCCCATTCCGGATTCCGTAATTAACGGAAGTTACGGTCCGGTTGGTTTTGATTATTAGACAACTTCCACCATTCGGAAATGTAAACGAGTATGACGAAGGAGCCCAAAGCTGCCACACAGCGTTATTTAATGATACGTGGCTAAAATGTCTTCTTGATTAATGGAGAGCTCAAATTAGGAGTGGGATACACCAAAGGGTGTCTGGGATGGTAACATATTGTGAAGGCTTAAGGTGACATTTTGATTTTAAATCAAAATAGAATTTTTTTTAAAAATAATGCCAATAACTCGCTAACCCGCATCCGGCATCCTTATTACGTCAATCAATTAGTATTTAAAACATGACACTTTCGGTAAAACTGCTGCAAACAGTTGAAAATGAAGAATGATCTTGACGCACGAGACCTTGTCAGCGTTATGTATCCAACAGGTGAGTGATGAAAATCTCTTACAGACTGCATTATTTTAACATCTATACGCATGCGTCATAATCGTAAAAAGTACACAGATTAATTTTGTGTCACGATGGCTGCCTTGAGTTGAACTATGTCACCCCCAGGTTGCGCTCCGTCAGGCGAGGCTCGCAAGTTTGTTTCTGAGTCCATTCCAATAGAAACAGGGATAGCTTTCGGTGGTGAAGGTTCGAATATATTCGGTTCTTGCTTCAGAACGAGGTTGTGGTTCATTGCCAAGGCGCGTTCGATACTGTATTCTGGACTTAGATGATGAATTGAAGGAAGTACACCAGGGGGCGGGCTGCCGACCTGCAGAAGCGCTGGAGGGGGAGTACTTAAGGCTGCTAACACCGACCCGTGGGTCTGGTACAGATTCTGGTAAGGCGTCATCAAAGGTTTCATCTCCGTCACTGGAAATAACATTAAATTTGGTTATATTGGTCATATACAATACTATATTAGATATTTATTAGTCGTTCTCTTTATCTTACCTTTTGGTCATTTGATAAATAAAAATGGACATATGTCACATAAGATATTACTTAAAGAACAGATATAAACATTATGATCTGACCACACAGACGTGACGTCCATATAAGATAAGCACATCTCATATAAACGATAACTTCTCTACTAATTTTCGTATGTTTTAAACATGTTTTACAACAATATCATCGATAACGAATAACGTCAAAGAGATTAAGAAATAATGCTGTGAAAACAGTCACCTGTTGAGTTGTCTGCCTTTGTTGAAGAGAGGTCTAATAGCCCGGTAGATGGCGCAGACACGTGGGGCTGGTGATGATGGAGTGGATAGTGTTGTTGTTGTTGTTGTTGCTGCTGCTGTTGCTGCTGAAGCTGTTGGTGCTCCACGTGGAGTGATACCTCCTTAGATGGCGATTTTTTAGAGGAAGTCTTCGGCTTACGTTTCCGTGTCTGTATACCGTCTTTCTTCATCGACATCGGCCGATTTACCTGCAAAGAAAAAAAAATGTCTTAATTATCCTGAAATGATATAAATCAGATCATTCGTGATATGTTTACCGATTGAACCAATGACACAATATGTGGATGTCTTAATCATAACAACGTTAATATCCATAATATGTAATAACAAAAAATACTAATTACCAGAAGCTGATGATACGGCAAGTTAATCCATGAGTGTATTTTACTTCATTTCATCCGGTAACAAATCTAGTAACAGTTGATATACTATATACTATAAATCTAGTATAGCGATCAGATAATGGTTCCACGACAACAATCGGCACAGAAATTCAACCCGCCTACCTGGTGCAATTTGTAGTAAAGGCCACACGCGTTGCATACGGGTTCTCCTTCTCCGTTCCGCCGCCAGAGGGTGGTAGTCGTTGTCCCACAATTTACACACGACAACCCCATCCTGTTCCGGTTGTTGTTATTCGCCTGCAATGATAAATTAATGAAATGCATGAACATTACAGAGACGTTCAGCTCCTATTGTCATTTAAAACCCACCTGTAAAAAGTAACAGGTCGTACTGTACTCCCTAGCGGACAACGAAACTACGTCTATATCTTTTCAAAAGTCCGTTATTCTCGTGTATGATGTGTACGCAATCCCTCTAGTAGACTACGAAACTACGGCTAAATCCTTTTCAACAGCCAAATAGTCTCGTGCATGATGTATACGCAATCCTTTTAGTAGAATTCGAAACTACGGCTATGTCTTGTCAACAGATCCGTATGAAATTGAAAGCTTTTAGTTTGTTATATGGTCACGTCAGTGATAACTACAGTCAACATGGCCGTGGTGATGCAAACTGATAATAACTAATACGTAAATTCTATGTATCAACCCATTATTACGTCTGAATTCAATATGACGTCATAGCAATGTGACGTCACATGGAATTTATAGTATTCAAGGTTTTCTTTTTGTTTCACGTGTAATATTTAAATTTGTGTCAATAAAAGGTATGTAATGGTACTTAATAATTACCTGATGCGCAGTGAAATATGTCATTGTGGCCTACTTTCACTCGCGGATATTTCTTTTCATAGACAAAAGAATAGGCATGCAGAGCAAATTATGTGTACATGTAGTGTACCAAGATACGGTCAGCACAAACACCCCTTTATCACACAAGTTATGAGTTGCCAACAGTAATGTCATAAAGTTCTATTCTAAGTGAATTTTTTTCCCTAAACATTTTTCATTTCCAATAAACAGATACGTATTCACAACTAAAATGTACATAACTGTCCATCATCCCCGCCAAAAGACTCCTTTTCAGCGAGAGGCGAGCAATAACTGGTGTGTTGGAAGATACGCCTCATAAGTTACGGACGTGCGTTTGTACATGGCATGACGAAATCGCATAAATATTTATCAAAAGTTTCAACTTTTTCCAGATATGCGTACAGTATTATGTATCTGATATAGATTATGCATACATAATCTTGGTTATACGAGCGTGGCGAGGCCTTGGATTGGTGTGATGTAGTCGGTAATTGGGACTACTTGGCCAAAGGTTTACATTCCAAACGTTAGTTGTCTTCTATTAACAATTTTGTATTCGTATTTCATCAGTTCGTCTGCCTGCAGAAAAATAACAACTTAAGACAGACCAGGAGAAACTATTTGCGTTTATGAATAGCAAGATTCTGATATATACTAAGCAATTCACAGTCAAATTATTGTTTCTGGTCTGTAGACAAGGGGAGACAATATGGACTTGAACGGCAGGTATAACTACAAAATGTGTGTTTAAAACACACACGTTTGACATAAAAAATAACTCTGCTGAGACACGAGAGCGGAAACAAAGCATTTACATCGTCTCGCAAGTAGAACTCTCCTGTATTAAAGTCTCAAAACACACTGAGAGCCAACCCTGCCTTAATCCATGGAAACTACCAGCATTCAGATGTTATTCTCGAGTGTGTATAACGAACTATCCAAGTCTGCTTCCTTGATTGTCGAAATCGTTTTCATGATTTTTATTCATTCTATATGAAAAAACTTTCACGGTATACATAATCCTTCATGATTCACGGCGGATTTATCTTATGATATTAAATACATGGAACAGGATATAGAAGAGCTTCGTCACAAACAGAGATGTTCCGAACGTACTCCGGTGCCCATAGAGAGAACTCTGCGGCAATCCTCGCCATGGATTTAGCACTCAGCGGTAGATCATCGTTTAGACCTATTGGGTCTATCAGTAGATGAAAACGTCTTGGCAAAGATGAAAGATACTTCTTATATGAAATGTTCGAAGCATGATGTTGCATCTCTGATACATCCGCATTTTCAAGAGAGGGATTTTGAAATATTTCAACTATGATACTTTGTTGATAACTGTTCGTAAATGAAAATTTAATTGGATTTCAGCAAATCGCACAGTTTTATGACTCATTAGGTCCTCTCCGATAAAACCCATAGTTTATAGATATATGACCGACAATTCACAGCAGATAAATAAATAAACAAATAGATAAATAACATTGATTAATTAGATATCTGCATTAAGAGGAAATCGTGATGAAAATGTAAGTGAATCAGTATGCCGATCAACCTGTGTAGAATCAATGATAAAACAGATCAAACTGTGACGTCCACACGAGGACGAATCGACTCCTATCTGTATAAATATCTTCTATAGCACATCAACAATGTATATTAAAATGTTAGTGAGTTCACACAGTTATGGATATTTACCATTGTGACAATTCCTCCGATGTAATCTTATCAACGCCAGTTGTGTATTACCAGCTCATGAACTGCTAACAATATAGGAATATTGCAAGCAATGTAAGCACGTTGAGAATGTCTTCCATTTTGTATGATGAAACTTGAAAACGGTAGATATAAACATTGAACTGCTTCCAGTTGGCATTCATGGATTGAATATTCCAATTAGATAAATACAAAGTCAACATGAAAGGTTAAAATGAGTTTGCTCTTCTGTTGACAATCAGATGCCCATGAATGCCAATTCAAAGTAGCTCCATGTTGACAGAAATACTTGTCACATAAACATCTATATATCCATATATATGTTTTCTCTTTAATACTGTTAAATTATCGATTATCGTTGGCGAATTATTTTCATTTATTTCGCGAGAACTCTTAACCTCCCAAGTTAATGTTACATTTATCCATGAAATAGGAATTATTTGAAAAACCTCGAAAGTTAAGCCCCACGTGAATACCGGAGTTTACAGTAGTTCGAACAATAAACTCGTGTTATTTGTGGAAAGGGGGTGGGGGTGGGGGGAGGGGAGCGTCACCTTGACAATGATCCAACTGTTTTCGTAGCAACACGCGTCTCCTTAACAGTGGCACGACTTAAACCGGAAATGTAAGTATGTTTAGCATGACTATGACTTGAACTCGGTAGAATTACGTAACCAAGAGCATGATTAATGTATGGCAGTCATTAGACTGTTCAGAAAAACATCCGGGTCATTACAGACCATTTCATCTGTCAGTATTAACCATAGATGGTAACTCTTGTCAATTTTCGCGTTTCTTCGTCATGGCACAATGTATGTGTTGGTAGGTGAGTGAGGGGTGGTATGTTAAAGACATGATTTCACCCCTGACCTGCCTCACCCCAGCCCCTACCTCCTTCATCTGTCCCCCACCGAGTCCAAGCTACTACTCTGGCCTCCAACTGGTTTTACAACAGGATACTGGAAGGGTAACCGTATATCCCCCACGGTAAATAGTAACACGGGAATGGTAGTGTTGCTAGGCAACCAAAGGGATTATCTCACTTCCGATCAAGCATCAATTTCTTTTTACAATCCGTGCAATTGTTAATTGTAAATCTAAAATGTATGAAACTAAATGAACACATTCTCATAGATTTGGTCGAGGTAAATGAGGTTTTATTTAACTTATAAAGTTATATTACAGTGTCTGTATAACTGTAAAGTAGTACGTAACATATCACCATGGGGGATAAAGGCGGTAAGTCCTAGTCCCGGCCCAAATATATAGGGATTATAATTCTGGATCATGTAGGAGACCACGGGGTTGTTGGCCTTTGATTTTTTTCAGTGGGATAAGGGACGCACCTACGAATGTTGTAAGGGGCCTGGATTAAGATTGTATTAATTGAAATTTAACACTCATCAAAGGGCTAACGAAGCGGTCGCGAATCTGTAGGGGTCGTTAGATTTACCGCCATTTTGTCGCGGATGTTTTTTGGCTACATCTTGGTATATTTGGATATTACTCGGTAAAAGATTTTGATCACCAGAGGTCGGGAACTATAATCTTGATATTAAGTCTTTCCTGACATAAAAAAAAACTCAATTTCTACACAAGCTAATACTTTATGGGTGGAGATTGTTTTTACTCTTTGTCATTACTGTATAGCCGAAAATTTTTTCCGGAGATAATATCTGCGCTTTTTTTTTGCGATACATTGACGTGATCGCAAAAAAAACCCCATCTAAATATAGAAACACGTGCGTGTTTTCTTTTTACATTCAGATCATTAATTTTCCATTCGTTAAAATAAAATTCGATCGTTTTAAAAGAAAACGGCGAAAATTTTGACCCACGAAAATCACTAGCTTTTATTAAATGTGAAAAAAGTGTGTTCCTTGTAGGGCTTCTAGTGTTGAAATCTAGAATAACTCTAATCATATGGTCATTAGGGATGCACTCGCACCAATATTCATCGAACATATGAAATATAAAATAAATATAATTATCAAACCTAATAACGTGTAAGAGTATGTGTTCTAAATCCCACTCTTTGTATAAGTTAAACATGACATACAAGGTTTAAGGGCGATCCTTGGTGACAAAAGTAGCCATCACGAGACCTAACCACTGAGCTTCTCCTACTCAAAAAGTTTGTACATGTATAAAACAAAAACAAACGATGAATAACGTCTTCAGACGGGAGTATAGCGATCTATCATTGGAATAACAGTATAATTCGGTTAAAATTCTTTTAACAATTTCAACACAAAATGACATGTGTAATACAAACCTGCGTTTTAATTAGACTTCATGGGAGGTGCGAAAGCCGGATTTACAGTTGATGGGTTTCACAAGTTTTCAAATTAGTTTTAACGAAGTTTGAACACCTTTCTTGAAAATGTCAGTGATTCGTTTGTATAAATTTATACAATTAAAACTTTGAAGTTTCCGTGACATAACCAGCCATATTGTGAAGGAACAGTCCTATTTAATGATTTCTGACCCCCACCCCACCCCCTCCCTACCCCCGCCCCTGAACCCTCCACAACCAGAGGGGAGGTAGTTAATGGAATGAGATGGGATTGAGAGGAACAGGGTAAACAAATTATGCTATCTCCGTAATTTTATATCCAGCTTCGTGTGCAGCTCCCAACTAAACATAATATTGACTTATCCTTATAAATGAAGACGGGGAGATTTTCATCTTTCGACATGCGCTTCCATTCAGACGATTTCTGATTCGTCCATCAGTTTATGAGCTCATGGACCAAAACCATCTCGCGGTGTGCTCCGCGTTGAAGAATTTTAGATTTTCGCGATAAGCTTTCTTTCAAGATTCTATTTTATGGCATTCCATGGAATGCGTTTCGAATTGAAAAGGCAAACTGTATTCAGATATTCCCAACAGTATGGTCTGAAGATACCAGTTACATTTCTTTCAACATTTTTGTTTTATAATTAAAAAATAAAAAAAAATCCCTCCCGTGAACCCCTTTCAGCAAGTGTAACGAATACATTGCACTGGGCATGCATCACATACACCGACTAGGGTGACGGGCTCTCGAAACGTGTTTACCAATCCTATTGAATTTCAATAACCTCTCTGAGGCCCAGAGAGGTTTTCTTTATAAAATATTTATATGGCTGATTTTTATATGCTCTTAAACAAAATGTGTGTGATGTGGCTTTGTATCATCTAATTAATTAACGTTATTCAAATTCATTTCATACTCAGATCTGATCTTTTTTTTCTGTCTCACAATTGATCAAACATTTATTCTTATTCAAAGTATATCATTTCATTCTAAACCATTGCTCTCATATCCAAACATAAGGAAAAAACTCTACTTTCCGAAATTTGCCATTTAAAACAAAACATTTTTCTAAAAATCACATGCTGAATCACACTCTATAAATAAATCATTAACATGGTTATAAGATCGCGGCTGGCTCGTGAAACGTGATCTTGCATACAAGCTTACAACATCGATAGCGAAACTAGATGCTTTAGAGTTTAAGGTTGGTCTACAAAATGAATCAGCATCTGTGAAAATTTGGAAATCCTGACAGGTTTTAAAATATATGATGTTTTGTGGCTTTGATACATTAGTTTAAATGCTTTTTTAATGACGTGAAAACAATTCTTCATTCTTTGATATCAGAATAAAAACAAGAGCAACAATGGAGTTGTTCATCTCAAAGTAACGGTTAAATAATTTATCCTTACACCTCACAGTTACGGTTAATATGTTGATCCTTACACCTCACAGTTACGGTTAATATGTTGATCCTTACACCTCACAGTTACGGTTTATGTGTTGATCATCACATCTCACACTTACGGTTAATATGTTGATCCTTACATCTCACAGTCACGGTTAATATGTTGATCCTTACATCTCACAGTTACGGTTAATATGTTGATCCTTACATCTCACAGTCACGGTTAATATGTTGATCCTTACACCTCACAGTTACGGTTAATGTGTTGATCATCACATCTCACAGTCACGGTTAATATGTTGATCCTTACATCTCACAGTTACGGTTTATGTGTTGATCATCACATCTCACAGTTACGGTTAATATGTTGATCCTTACACCTCACAGTTACGGTTTATGTGTTGATCATCACATCTCACAGTTACGGTTAATATGTTGATCCTTACATCTCACAGTTACGGTTAATATGTTGATCCTTACATCTCACAGTTATAGTTGATATATTTTGTATATTGATTCTTACATCACAGCACCAGTCTTTTTTTTTATTCTTACAGAAATAATCAGATGATAAAAATCAAATCCAATTTTCAAAGTCCTCTTCGTCAATGTTTACAGTTAATGACTAGTGATGAGTAAGTTTATAAACATTTATATTTTACCGCTATTCGGGCTCAATTTGCTTTTATTCATTTTGGTACAACTCGCATGCTAAGAATAAGAATGCCTCCTAAAATCAGTCGTTTTTTCACTTTTATCATTTTTTTAAAACATTTCTTGTAGCATGAGACTATATTTTATCGAAATCCACCGTAAAGTTTTGATAATGTTAAATCATTTGCGTGTATTAGTTCAATAAACATGATATTATTTACATTTACAGTTATGACGTCATAAAATAATTACGTCAACAAATCTGACTATGCTATTCACAGAACTATGAGTGTCAGTACTAATATCATCTAATGATATCATTTGTTTGGTTCATTCGGAAGTGGTAAATATAAAGAGGACAATAATTAAAGCAATGCATTCTGCCATAATGACGTCATAATTGAACTGACGTCACCAATCAAAATAATGCTTAACTGCCTTTTCTGAAGGTGTTTGGAATCTTACGAAGCATAAATAAAGAAACAGTGACCTAATCTAAGGTAAATATAGATATGTTTTAACATACGCCATTTTCTACAGCAGTGGTTTCCTGATGTGGTTATGTAAAGTAGAACGCTGGTCGTTAAACCAATTTCATCACATCTGTTGTAGTGATAGATATGGCGTGACAGTGTTCATTAAAATGATATCACCACTAAGTGAACAATATTTTGATTCACTTTTGTCTAATTAGATAAAAGTATTTGTAGTGATAGTATCACAGCTGGTCGTCCTATTTACCGTCTTCTTGTTATTTTAGATTCGTGGTTCCGATCTTTGGGTTAGAAAGTCGTTCAGACACATACTGTTATCTGCTGGTAGTGACAATGATTAGATACAACCCGCTGATCGTTGAACACTATCTGACAGGTGACATATTGGTCGAGTTATAGAAGTTTATCTCCACCCTCTCAAATACACTGCCCTCAACACTACGCCATTCTGTGACTGGCCTGTTGATATTATTATTACCCATGTTATATAAATAAATAAATATATAAATAAATAAATAAAATAAAGAGTGGGGAAACTCTCGCTATCCTACATTTATTAATACTTACCAATATGTTTTATATTTGAACTATTTTCTTAGGCGGAGCAATGCAATAAAACACGTAAATAGACCGAGTATAATGATCGTGTGTGAAACCCCACTTTCCTTAATAATGTCAGTTATTGGTCATTTAAATCTCCTGAAAATACAAATCGTATGGTCAGTTATTGGTCAGTTAAATCTTCTAAAATACAAATCGTGTGGTCAGTTATTGGTCAGTTAAATCTAGTGAAATACAAATCTTGAGGTCAGTTATTGGTCATTTAAATCTACTGAAAATACAAATCGTGTGGTCAGTTATTGGTCAGTTAAATCTACTGAAAATACAAATCGTGTGATCAGTTATTGGTCAGTTAAATCTACTGAAATACAAATTGTGTGGTCAGTTATTGGTCAGTTAAATCTACTGAAATACAAATCGTGTGGTCAGTTATTGGTCAGTTAAATCTACTAAAATACAAATTGTGTGGTCAGTTATTGGTCAGTTAAATCTACTAAAATACAAATTGTGTGGTCAGTTATTGGTCAGTTAAATCTACTGAAATACAAATCGTGTGGTCAGTTATTGGTCAGTTAAATCTACTAAAATACAAATTGTGTGGTCAGTTATTGGTCAGTTAAATCTACTAAAATACAAATCGTGTGGTCAGTTATTGGTCAGTTAAATCTACTAAAATACAAATTGTGTGGTCAGTTATTGGTCAGTTAAATCTACTAAAATACAAATTGTGTGGTCAGTTATTGGTAAGTTAAATCTACTGAAATACAAATCGTGTGGTCAGTTATTGGTCAGTTAACTCTACTAAAATACAAATTGTGTGGTCAGTTATTGGTCAGTTAAATCTACTAAAATACATGTCGTGTGGTCACTGACTTTAACTCGTACATATGACATTAGCACAGACTTAGAAATAGTCTTTATCTCCGACCGTGGCTTATATTGTATCTAAAGGCACAGCTGACTTGTCCGTTCTCTAACACTGACCCACTTTATATTTTAAACCCTAATTGTTTGTATCACTTATAATCGACATTCCATTATGTTTTAATCTATCAAAAATGACCACGGCGAAGTTAGAGGAAGGCATCTGTTTCTTGTTGACAAGGACTATAAATATTTCCGTATGGTATTCCTTACATTTAAAGTATTGTGGCAGCAGTATTTCTTAGCTAGTCAGAATAACCACGAGGGATCGGGGGAGGGACTTGGCATTATTAAGGAAAGGGAAAAAGTGGTCCATGTGTTTTGTTTACAATAATTTAAAAAGAATCAAAGACGAATGCTTTATTATATAAGCCTAGTGGACCTTGGGACTGAAGTACGTGGTATGCCAACTGTTTAACAGGTGGTGAGCTAGACAGACTTAAACTCACTATAGCGCCCCATTCTGTACAAGTATATATATTTATCTATAAAACTCAGAGTCTGTACCAATCTTTATTGAGTTTTTGTGACTAAATTATTTCGTCTATAAAATATGTTACTGTTTATATATACGCCCACTTTCTATATGGACACACACGTGACGAAGATGAATCAATAACTGAAACAGCATCTCCTAAAAGTTCCCATGTCTTAAACTAAGATAAGTAAATTTTAACTTACCTTATCGTATTTACTTTCAAACTTCTTAGGTTTTTCGTCCTCGGGTGAGTCCTGGAATAAGAAGTATGACACTAAATCTACCGCCATAATTCGTGGTGATGCAGAACTGAGTTATACTGTGGTGTTGGGTGGAAGTTCGACGACGTACTCGCTGTTCAGGGTTTGTTTACTGTATAAATCAAGCTGGTCCCTCCCGAGGTACAACACCAGCTTGAGATGTGAGTACTAAAAATTCAGGGGAGTGAAAGTTTCGGTGTGAAGAAATCAGATACCCCTAGCTTGAGTCGAGTCGACATGTAGTAACCTACCAGCGGGGCCCGATAAGGGGTAATTTCAGTTCACGAATTTTAAAGAAATGTGAACTTTGAGGTTGTGGAATTACTTACCGGGTATCAGTCGCTATATCACGTGTCTGTATACAAATGTTAAAGATACTAATTGATTTTTTAAAAAATATTACATTTGAAATAATATTTTGATAACAAAAGCCGAGAACAAATTTGACAAATGTTTCCACGTGACACAAGGTGATTAACCCACTTTTGAGCAACTGATGTATTAAAAAGTCTATTCCCAATAAGTAAAGTTGTGTCAACTAGAACCAGAAACTTACTGACATATTTATTAACTTGATGTATAATCTGTGTATTACATCGTGAGTTATATACAAACACACAGTCGTTTATCGTACAAATTATCATACTGTCATGTGATGCTTGTGAACTTGTACAACTTTTTGAAGTTGAAAAAAAAGAGCTACAATGATTGTTATAATTAATCATCTTATAAAATAGCCAGCACGTCCATTTCATGGAGTTTATCTTAAAAATCAGTTAGTTATGTACGTGTTAAAAAATTGTAAAATGATAAAGCTATGTAGGTATTTACTGGTATTGTGTCTTTTAATGTCAAAATGGTTGTGATGTGATTAATATCCTCTCCTTGTTTCGGTTGTCTCCCTTTAACTGGTTTGATCTCAACATTACCGACAAAGGTACGCAGAGTTATTCCCCATGAAATGGATTCGGCACTTGTGAAAATCAAAAGTATGCGGGAAACATAAAAAAAAATAAGAAAAAAAAAATGGTTTGAATATATGCAAAAAAATTATCGAAAAGTTCCAATCACATATACCCATCTTTATTTTATTTATTTATTTATTTAACGAGTTTTGCATCCACTATTACGGCCCTTCAGTGGACCAGTATATACCCATCTATCTACATAGAGAACACAAGGTAAGTCTTAAAGTATAAGCTGTATACTGGTGAAGGTGAAGAAAGACAAAGGTGGTGAGCTTCTGCTCTAAATGTAGCTTACATTTTACGACATTGACCATGTATTCTATTTATCCTGAAACACTGACTGAAAATCAGACTACTGAAACTTGGACAGTTTTGTGGTCCAATCGGTTTACCGGACGTTGACGCGACACTGGATTTTGATGACGGACCCAAACATAATTGCTCCGCACAGAAATATAGTTCTAAACTTCAACTGATATACAGCAATTTCATGAATTTTCATAAATCAACTTGTTCATTACAACACGACAAAAATCGCTTTTTTCGACAATGATTTCTATTTCTAAACGTAATATTTAAGAAAATTAAGAAAGCAATTCTGTCGAATTGATTCAAGTGCTAAAATGCGACTGTTTTCTTCACTGTCGAATACAACAAAACAAGAATATATATATGTGGCAGGTGTATTTGAACAATGGTAGCGCGGCAGCGCTAGTTGCTGGATAAAGAAGTATATATATAAAGGTTAGGTAACACAATGATAAAGTTACCGTGAATTAAAGAGTTAAACAATTAAAACTATGTTTATCTCATCATAATTCCGGGGGGCAACATGAAATACCTGACACAGATGGTGGAGAAGGGGGCTTTTTCATCAGGACATGGAAAATAGAAAACTTTTGTTATCATTTTTGCTGAAAAGTTTAGTTTAGATTGGATATCGGTGGGTATACGTGACCAGAGGAAACAGCTTCGTCATAATCTGATATACAGAAAGGTAAGACAAAAATATAAAAAAAACCCCAAAAACTTAAAGCTGCAGGACCATGCACACAAAACAATGTTTATACATCAAAACATAAATTTTATGCTGTACATTTGTTTAAAATTATGGTGTAAAAATGACAATTTTTATAAATATCTTAAACATGATAATAAATAAATTTGAAATCAAAACTTTTAACGCTCTGTTGTTATATCAAATATGTTTTAAAAATATTTATGTGGAGTCTTTTTTATTAAGCGAACTTTCTTACCTGTCTGGGGGACGATTTATTATTTTGATGTCGTGTTAATCCATTCATTTTATGATATAGTCCACATGCATTGCACAAATAATGACCCGTCCCGTCCTTGCGCCATAATGGCGTAGATATCGCTCCGCAGTTGACACATTCCCGCCCTTCCCCATCAAAATAGTTCGGGTCGTCTGAAAAAAAGAAGAGTTGTTTCTACTCATTACCAGTATAACTTTGAAGTTATTTCGAATTAATACATTAAAAAAAAAAGAAAGAAAATCAACCAACAAAATCAAAATTACATTAAGTAATTAAATAAAATTATTTATAATAAGAGCTACTTGTCGAAAATAAGATCAAATATTAGAATCACTTGTGTCTTTATTATGTTTAACTTTATAATTTCATAGATAAATACGCCACAAAATAAAATTTACATGAAACGTTCGAAGTTAAATGGATGACAAAATTGTGTTCAGTCGAGAAAGTTAATTTAAACATATTTTATTATAAGTCGCAGATAAACGGATCAAAGAAAATTCAACATTATCACACCAAAACTACACAACACTAAGACACAAAGTAGATATATTTATATTACAACTTTTACACTGTACAACATTTACGAACAACAATGTCTCTGTCACGTGTATAAATCGCCAACCTCAGCTTTCATTGTTTATCATCCAAGTTAAAAACAGCACGTAACGGATACACTTAAAATGTCAAATTACTGTACACCTGTGAAAAATCGATAAATGGTATCGATTGGAGCACTCACCAAAGGTAGTATCGTGTGAGATTTTTGTGTCGTCAATATCGCCCGCTTGTAAATACACTCTCTGAACACAACTGTGAGCGGTTTTATTAGCTGTGTGAATAATAACTTAAACTTCGAATTCATCTAATTTAACTAAATATATATGAAACCTTTTTGGTGAACATTATCCATTTTTTAAATACGGGAAATACATAGCTAATAAACCGTCAGATTTTATTATTATGAAAATGTTTTTAAATCCCTGTCTATTCTTGGTCTCCGAAGCCCTGACGTTATTAAAGTATCGTGTTAATGTCAGTGTTACAAAATTCCTTGTCTATTTCCTGGACACTGGTTTATCTTAGAAATTTGATTAAGTAATTCATAAATTTACATTTTGTAATCATTTTTGTTGACTTTTGTTATCATTATTTATTTTAAAATAATTTTAGTAATTTCGAATTTCGTAATATAAGATGCTTTACGGAGCTGCCTTAATCTGACTTTTTCTGGAATTTTATTGGAATTTTTCTGGAATTTTACTGGAATTTCACTAGAATTATTTCCAGTGAAAAAATCAAATCCATGACTCAACCGTTTGATAATTCTTATTATTCTTGGAAAATGCTGTCCATTTATACATGAATTTTTTTTTTTCAAGAAACACGATAAAGAACAGGTTTACTAATAATACAAAGGACTGTATTCTCTTTCTTGGTGTAGAAAGATTTTTTCCAAACAGCTTAAGTGTGCCACAGATTTTATTCGGTATCTACAACTTGTGAAATATTTCACATTTACTGTCCTATACTTCTGTGTTCATAAGTAAGGAACGGGTCTTGTAACCCGACGGAAAATTTGCACAAAATAAACTCACGGAGTTTACAGGAACCGAAAGTGAAAGTAACTTTCTATCCAGGAGACGCCAATATCACTGATACTCAATATATATTTATAATATTGATGGTAATAAAATACACAAATGAAATCAATCACGAGTGAGGAGATTCGTTGGATAAATAAATAAATAAATAAATAATCGAAACAGATATATCCTTTCAACGATCTTGTCTATCTATTAAAAAATGAAATGCATATTTGAGCATGGATATAGTTGTTCAACTTTTTATTATATTTCATGTGAAGTGTGACCACGACATATCTTTCTGTCAGTAACCCGTATATTACACGTAAATCACAAATGTCACACAGAACAATAGTCTTGAGGAATCAGGTGATAACACATGTAATCTCAATTCTAAATACTTTCTTCACCAACCATTCCTACATTTTTTTTATTCCGTGATACTGAACAACCCGCACGTGTCTTCATCAAATCACGCAAGTGAACGATATAATATACCCGATATTTGTGGGTGCGATGTTCACGGTGCGCACTCGGAATTTTTAAATGCAATTTCACGCGATCATTCAACAGTGGTTTTGATCATGAAAAACGGTCATTAGGAAAGATTAAGTTTGAAAACCCGGTCACAAGATGACGACATGATTGATTGGTTATCACAGTGCTGCTATATTTAGCGCGTGTTTTATCGGGGTGAAGTATGAGTATGTGTCAAATTGTTTACTAGCGAATACGCATATTGTTTAAGCTAAAACAATGTGGTATATTTAATCGTACTTCGTCTTCTAGTAAATCTCGCCTTAAGGCAATATGTTTCGGATGATCATTACGTCACATGTCTGTCTCTTTATCTTACAGACTATGTATATGTACGCATCTGTGATATTTTAATAAACCTTTGTTTGTTGTGTTCTTTGTGGTGTTTATATAATTATCATTTAATGATTTTTCATTAATATGAAAATTAACGATGTTTTGGAAATAAAATACATCGTAGATGCTAGCTTTATCTAATTAAATTATCTGTTGATACTTATGTGGAATATTAATGACAATATCATTTATTTGAATATCGGTTGGCCTAAGTAGGCAATTTGCTATAATTATTTAACACCTCAGGTTAGGGTTTTCAGGTAACGAGACCACGGGTTCGTTTCGTTTAAATGTATTATTCAGCATTCCTTGAATTAGCATCACCATGCAGCTGGGATATACCTGGTTTCCTGACACTAGACATAGCATTAGTGATAAGATATCGGCCTAGTTTGATAAAACCCTGTACTCTAATCCCTTTACAGAGAAACACGGACAAACCCGAACCCAGGATCCTGCACTATGAAATAACCTTCGACCTTAAATTTAGTCCTCTTGTGGTGGCACCGCCATCTTGAATTGTTGACTTATAGATAACAGATTTCAATGTTTAACATACTACTAGTTCTCGACTGAACTTGTATAGATATGTATGTACAATGTTTATGTTTGTAGACACATGTATACTTGAAGGTCCATAAACATTAAAATTCATAAAACAAAAACCCTAGAACAGACAGCCTATACAGGCAAAGTACGAATAAAATCCTTAACATATATAATGTAGGATACTGACTCTTAGATATATATATCATGGCCGGTTCGGGTTAGTTGTAATGAACAGGAGTGTTTCTAGATAGGGCAGTCTGAGTTGAAACTGTTTTGCTGAATCGTGTATCGTATAGTGAACTCTCCCGATATTCCTTACTTTGTGTGCTCCTCGTGGTGCCAGATAATTTTCCTAGTCCCATTGTCACACGCTTAAGGAAATCTTAACTACCACAGACAAACATCACGCAAGGTTAAGGAAAATCTCAAATTTAAGGAAATTTTCTTAACGTTTTAACGCTTTCATGTGCACAATTTTAAGGTAAGGTAGATAAAACCGGGGCCTGAACGAGTAAATATGATTTTTTTTCTTTCAATGACAAGAAAGATACATTTAATTTAGCAGCTTAAGTTTTTTTAAGAGAATGTGTTTTTTTTTTCGAAAACTATCCAAAGCAAACATTGAACAATTAATTTAAAGTTGTACATAATCAGACACTACCTGTGTATACAGGCCACTCAACAGAGCTGAGAAAAGTGATCTACTTCATCTGTGGGCTCTATATACAGAGATTAAATACTCAAACCTGTGTGACATTGGCACCCGAAAACAACACCATGTCTGACGGTAGATTTTAGAACTTGTTTCAAAGATTTTTTTTTTCGTGGAAATTGATGAATAATGATATTGACTCTATGTAATGCCGAGAACATTTAGATTAAGAGTATCAAACGTTTGTAGGAAATACTGATGTTATACACTTAAAATGATTAATTAAAAAAGGAAGGAACACGTCAAATACATGTATATATATGTACAGTATACATTATCAATGAAGTAATAACGACAGCACGGACAAATGAATTGTCAAATTTTCGAGGTATTCTGCCCCTTTATCAAGACACAAATATGACAAATTTACAAGTCCGTACTGTCGCTATTACTTCATAGATGATATATCTATTCCAGTAATACGCATCCAACGAACATTTGTTTGTTAGGATCCAGTACCAATATTGGACCATACCCCCGATATCACTTACTGGATTCTATATATAGAAGATCCAGTACCAATATTGGACCATACTGTCGATATTACTTACTGGATTCTATATATAGAAGATCCAGTACAAATATTGGACCATACTGTCGAAATTACTTACTCGATTCTATATATAGAAGATCCAGTACCAATATTGGACCATACTGTCGATATTACTTACTGGATTCTATATGTAGAAGATCCAGTACCAATACTTACTCGATTCTATATATAGAAAATCCAGCAACAATATTGGACCATACTGTCGATATTACTTACTGGATTCTATATATAGAAGATCCAGTACCAATATTGGACCATACTGTCGAAATTACTTACTGGATTCTATTTATAGAAGATCCAGTACCGATATTGGACCATACTGTCAAAATTACTTACTGGATTCTATATATAGAAGATCCAGTACCAATGTTTGACCATACTGTCGAAATTACTTACTGGATTCTATATATAGAAGATCCAGTACCAATATTGGACCATACTGTAGAAATTACTTACTGGATTCTATTTATAGAAGATCCAGTACCGATATTGGACCATACTGTCAAAATTACTTACTGGATTCTATATATAGAAGATCCAGTACCAATGTTGGACCATACTGTCGAAATTACTTACTGGATTCTATATATAGAAGATCCAGTACCAATATTGGACCATACTGTCGAAATTACTTACTGGATTCTATATATAGAAGATCCAGTACCGATATTGGACCATACTGTCGAAATTACTTACTGGATTCTATATATAGAAGATCCAGTACCAATATTGGACCATACTCTAGAAATTACTTACTGGATTATATATATACTGTATATGCTGTATATTATATACTTCTCTGTCGTAACCGATGACATACGTAGATTCAAATGCTCTACCAGTTTGTAGCAATATAAATGTTTTAGCTGTTTGGTAGCA